AGTCAGAGCTTCAAGGTGGGGAGAGGGAGGGATAGTATAACTAGTACTGACCTAAAACGGATTGAAAGGTGGGAGGTAGTTATGAAAGGGTTAATGGGAGGATTAAATCACGGATCACAAATTGGGAGGAAAGGAGATGAAGAACTGCCCACGAGGTGACAGAAAGAAAAAAGGGAGATGGAGAGAGGGAGGGAAGAGTGATTAGAGAGTTAGGATGGAGAGGAAGAAGAAGAATGAGAAAAAATAGCTGGTGAACCGAAGGGAACAGGCGACGGGGGCGGGACCTTAATGTTCTTTGGGCGGACCGTCACAAAATTTCAGTGCGGCGTTTCTACGGCGATCCAGCAACTTCCACCGATTCCATGCTGCTCCTCCAGCTACTGTTCGACACTCCCAAGCTTCCCCCCCAGGATGTTCCAGCGCCTTCCAGCTGCGGGATCTAGATGCTTCTGCCCACACCTTGCCAGGCACTAACCAGCCCTGTTTCTCCCCTGTGCTCGGCACCTGCCACCCCCCTACTGGTTGGGGGGTTCAGTGGTTATGCTCCATTGAGTAACTCATCTAGTACTATAGAATATAGATATGCTTTGGGGGGAACTTCCCCAGATGTCTTCCTGCTTCTTTTTGCTGGCGATAACTTCCGGGGGGGGCGATCTGGCTGCCTGAGGCCCACTATCTAGAACGTTCCGCTCTTCTAATTCTTCCTCCCTCTTCCCTTCCCCTCCATTCCCCCATTCCCAGCCAATCCTGAGCTGCTATCACTCTGACCGCTTTGTGTGCTTTCATAGTAACCAATGTTACCACGGCTACCATTAATTACTACTACATACAGTACTTCACTGGATGTGTCACTTCAGTTCAGGCATGCCCTCTGGAAGTACTCTGTACCCACACAGTAGTTGACCTGAAGAACTAACCCATCCACTACATGAGCCATTGACTCATTTCCCCACTGGACCCTCCAACCTTGCATGCTGTGTCTACCCTACTTGCGCCAGCTGGGGAACCTTGAGCACCCTTTATCGCACCCTGATTACAGTCATTTCACTACATACAGGGCGTCAAGTCATTAGCGAGATTTCTGTGTTTGTTTGTTTTCTGTAGATGTCTTCAATCTTTTTTTTTTTTACTTGTATCCCTTTTTGCTCCATTGTGGTTGCACAATTAGCAACAACATCATCCTGAGCCAACACCGCTCGCTACTACCCACCGCCCTGTAGCCCTTGAACCTCCCCGGGGTGCTAGCCCCCGAAGAAAGTACGGCACAGAACTGAGAGAGACGTAATAATGAAGAAACATTCCAGCAAGAAGCCATCCATTTACACTCCTCAAAACATGACGAGGCCGCAAATAAGAAACAATGAACCAGAAGCCAGGGAAAGAAGTGTAACTAAGCAGGAGCCAGGACTAAGAAGCCAGAGATGGACTGCGACGGTCGTCAACATGGTAGGAGAGAGAAGAAAAAACAATGATGATGGGAGGTCAAAAGCCACCAGAGATCAGAGATGAAAGAAATATGGGCATTCAGCTCGCTATGCTAAGAAGATAAGGAGCCATCAAAGAGGTAGAGAAAATAAAGAGGTCATGGCAACACAGGAAGAGGAAACCAAAGTCATGATGACGACCAAGCAAAGCCCAGTGAGAAGATGATAAGAAAACTTTTCCAACCGCTAATATGCACTGTGACAAGAGGGCCACATAACACATGTCATTATCAAGTAAAGGGGGAGAGTAATACATGTCCTGGATCGCCGTGAGCATCTAAACCCGTATACCGTCTCAAGCCAGGAGGAAGGGCTAGGAATCATATAAGGCTTTGTAAAAAGGGGGAAAGAAAAAGGAAAGAATGGGATTAGAACGAAGCGGTCAAGGTCCACTGAGATGACCACCGCTTACGCTCGCTCGTCGTTCTTCGTTAGACGTCAAGAGGTACTTTTATTTGTAAAGGTGCTTAAGCAGCCTGGGCCTGGTTGCGACCCTTGGCGTTGACGTTGCCGCCACGGCCACGGGGGGCAAAGCCTCCGCGACCCTCGCGCTGGAAGCCTCCCCGACCCTGGCTGCCCGCACGGTCACCACGACCACGACCGGCGCCACCGCGGCCCGCACCGTAGCTACCGTTACCGAAGGCATTGGTACGAGGGCGACGCTCCTCCACGTAGATCTGCTCGGATCCAATCTGGTGGGGGTTGGCAGCGACAGCGGCAGCATAGCCCGCGGCATCACTAAATTCGACAAAGGCGCAGTTCTGGACGCAAGGTTAGCTTCTCCTTCTCTGATCTGGAATACGGGTGGGTTAAGAGGTGACATACCTTAGCACGGCTCACATCGAAGTGCTTCAGCTTGCCAAAGCGGGACAGGGTCTGCTTGAGCAAGCTCGCATCAACCTTCTCGGTGACGTTCTTGATGTAAGCGAGAACATTCTCCTCACCCGCACGGGACTGGGTCTTCTTGTGATCGTGGCCCGCAGTCTGCCAGCCAGAACCATCAGTCGAGGAAGGTTGGCTGGACGCAGCTTCGGGAGCGGCAGCGGCCGCGGGAGCAGGAGCAGCGGCGGGGGCGGGGGCCGGAGCCGTGGGCTGAGCAGTGCTAGCAGCGGGAGCAGGCTTCACCGGAGCAACGGGAACAGCGGGAACAACAGGGGCCGAGGCACCAGACTTGGAGGCGATGTTGGCCCAAGTCTTAGGGACCGCCCTGGCGGGAGCACTCTCCTTGACCGGAGCAGGAGCTTCCTTCTGCTCGGGCACAGGGGTGGGCTCAGGAGTGGCGGGCTTCTCAGCCTTGGGGGCCTCAGTCTCAACCGGGGCAGCAGCTTCAGGGGCAGCTTCGATAGGGGTTTCCTCAGCTGCGGTTCCATTGGTCTGGGGAGCTTCCTCCTGGGCAGGCTTGGCCTCAGCAGTCTGCTCAGCCTCCTCGAGCTTCTCGTCAACCTTAGCCGCGGCGGGCTCACTGTCCACCTGGGCCTTTTCGGGCTCCGGGACAGTCTCAGCTGCAGGCTGTGCAGGCTCTTCAGCAGCCGGCTCCTCCACCGGGGCAGCAGGGGCAGCAGGAGCAGTTTCTTCTTGCTCAATCTCCTCCTCATCGACAAGGTACCGGAAGATGTCGTTGAGGACATAGTAACCGTTGGGCTGTTCGGCCAGCACGAAAGTCTGCACAAACTTGCGGGAAGGCTCGGACCGGTTCGAGATCTCGCCAATCACAGAGATCAGGATGTTATCGAATGAGGCCTGAGAGTCGACGTTCAAGACACGGACCTTGCAGTCTTGGAAGTCAAGCTGCTTGATCTTGTCATTGATAGCCTATAATGTAACGATGATGTCAGTATATTAGACCTTACTGGACAGGAATAGATCCCATGGAGTTGAGATATCAACACGCACCTTCTGGCCCACAGCAACCTGAACGGTTTCAGCTTCGGTGCCGAAAACGAGCTGAGAACGCCGAGAGTAGAAGAGGTGAAGCTTCTCCGGACTGCGGCTCATGTTGGTATAGTACTGCTCCACGAAGTACCAGCCAACCTCATCCTTCGAGATACCATTCTTCTGGTCATTTGCGGGGGCGTTCGAGGGAGTAGAGGAGGGCGCAGGCTGGAAGCTGGCCGCGCTGTTGACGTTTGCGGGGGCGTGGGTGAAGGTGTCGGGGTAAGCGTGTTGCGCAGGGTAGCCGCCGTTCATAGGAGCCTGGGTCGTGTCGGCCATTGTGAAATGAATGAAACTTGGAGGCTCGAGAAAAGAAAAGAGAAAAGTCTAAGAGAGAAAGGCCAAGCAAAAGGATATGCTGGATAGGATGCGAGGCTTGATGCGATGAGGTAAGGGAAAAAATTCTAGTAAGAAATATTCCCCGATACTGGTATTTGTCAGTGCTTTTGAAGCTTGGACGTACGTATATGGCCATGGCAGAGAGATCCGAGCCACGATTGCAGGTGAAAATGAAGGACTTACAACGTGAAATGTGCGAACAAATTGCTCCCCGAAGGCGCAATGAAGTGAATCAAAAAGAAAAGAAAAGATCAATGAAAGGTAAGAAGGTGGCGCGTCGGAGTCGTCGAGGTTAATAACAGAAAGAACCTTGTGCGATTCCGGAATTGAGTGTGCGAGGGAAAAGCCCGAGGCAACAGATTCGGGAGGGAAAAAGCACGGGGACGAAGAGAGACGGAGCTTGTTTCAAGAGACAAAGAGGTGGGAGCAGATGAAAAACTGGCTGAGGATGATAATTGCAAGGAAATATGAAGAGGAAGATGGGGTGTTTGTGTATATGTGGAGGATGAGGGGAGGTGGTAAGTAGGGTGTGTGTGTGTGGTTGAAGAGTGGTGAGGGAAGTTAAGTTTGGGGGAGTGTGGTAAGTAACAGCTAGTAGTAACAGGGTGGACGGAGAGACACGAGAGGTTGCTGAGAGCAGCAGCGCAGAGAGAGAGAGAGAGAGAGAGAGAGAGAGAGCCGACTATGAGGTGAAGGGCCAGTCAAGCCGTTCGTTTTTGCTGGTGCAAAATCCAGCCGAACCCAGAAGTGCCCGGCGCTAGTCTTCATTGGGACATATCGCGCTTGGCCCCGAGCTCACCGCCTGCTACTTCTGGCTGATATGATTCACGGGCGCATCTCGTCGATCGACTGGACGACCGCGATCAGTGACAAAATGTGGCAGCGGTGGTGGCAATATTGGGGCGGAATAAGACCAATTACTTCAATCGGTCAGATATACAGATGGTAGGACCTAAATCTACATAGAATCATGGGGCTGGCACTCAGTAGTAGTACATAATCTGTAAACGAAATCGCTGTCGGATCTGTGTTGATGACGCAGTGAAACAATGCGGTAGGCCAGTCCATTTGCCATCCATGATATCAGCATGCGGTGGATTCAATCGCCCCCGAACAGACCCGTTCATTGGCGATGATGTTGGACCCTCGACCGATAGCTGTTCTACTACCATTTACGATGCACAGCCTGTGATACGAAGCGCTCTTTCTTCGCCATTTCTCGTAGAATGTATCGGGGTTCAAATTCCTGCTTGTTTCCTATTTCAAAATGTAGACAATACATAGTCTAGAGAGCTGTGTACAACATAGATCACTGGCAGATCTCGGATTTGTATATCCAATCATCGGCGTGCTCCTTTTGTCATATAGTAAACGGAACCGACACAATACCACACCCCTCATAAACATCACAGAATTAATCCCAGTAATCAAATAAGTAGATGGCTATCAGACAGTAGATTAGGGTTGGTACACGCAGCGAAATCGCATCAAATCAAAAGTAATCAGCTGGCTCAGAAGGGGGGTATGATAGACAGGTAAAGATAAGCTTCTCATCAAGACGGGTATCGAACTCGGTCATAGAACCCGCCGCAGGGGAAATCTGGCAAGCCGGGAAAACATGCAACATTAGAACAGTCGTGGCCCAGGTGGCCATGGGGACAGGGAGCAAAAGGTCCAGTAGTAAGGTATCAAAATGCAAACTTTCGGTCAACACCACACGACACGGCCGCAACAACTCACGGGGCTTCCACCACCGCTTTTTCGTTCAGCACGGGTTCTCGCATGACAGCGTCCTGGCTGGTCATTCTACGTCCAAGGGCGCGCTCCACCTTGGCACCCAATGCCAACTTGCTCAAGTTATCGGTCTTCTCCGGAGTGGGAACGAAACGTTGCTTCAGAAGGGGCTTGTTTTCCAGGCGCTCCAGTCCATCGCGGAGATTGTGGAAATCGGCCAGTCTGGGGTCTCCGGCCGGTAGACCTGCAAAGGTGGTTTCCGACGAGGCGACCGTAGGGGCTTCGCTGACGGTCGAGAACCGCTTGGAGGTACGTGCCTATGATCGAATCAGACGAGATTGCGACGGCGATAAGTGCGTGGACATCGCACGTAGTCCATGTAGACTTACCGACTGGGCCATGATGGGTCTCTCAGATTCAAGCGATGTATGTCTAGCCATGTCCACTATGGTGGTAGGATGCGGTGGGTCGTAGATTGCGTGCAGTTCGAAGCGTGTGCAGAATAGTGGAACGACAAAGGCTGCGAGGCTTCCGGAAAGACCGTACGTAACCTGTAAGATGGAATTGTACCCCGGTCAGCGAAGCGAGAACTTAAAAGAGGTGCGGATATCAAAGGAACGACTGCAGCAGGACCGAAGAAACACGAAATCCAGACAAGCAGACGGAAAGGTCCACAGTCGAGAAAATAAAGGAGGGAATAAAGGGAAGGCAAGGTATCAATAACTAATCGGGAAGTTTTTTCTTGGGAGAATGATCCCGACGAGTGGTTCAAGACACTTGATTGAGCCGGGATCAGCAGGGCTGGAGAGAAGAGGGGTTCTCACCTTGGGGCAGTCAATTACTTCCAGGGTCTGTATGCGATCAGTATAGATCAGAAGAGATATCTGACGTGGGCAAAATCATAAGAAGAGGAAGAGTAAGAGTAAGAGTAAGAGCAAGAACGAGGTCGTTGATGAGAGTGTAGGACTGCGCGCAGCCGTGCCATGCATTCAACTCAGGAGAGGCCGGGGGCGAAGGAGGCGGATGGGGTGGGTCACCGGCAGGCGCCAAAACGCAATGCTGATAAAATCTTCTTCCTCGTCGACGGTCGGAAAGGATTGGAGAGGGGGGTTGTCGTTTGGACGGCTTTTAAGGTTTTTCTGTCCTGATTCTCTCTACGATCCCCTCCTTTGCCCAGATCTTGTATTGATCTTTGTGGTGAAGGGGTACTTTGTTGGTTAACTGGCACGAGAGAGAGATAGATAGGGTTGATAGTGGTGAGGTCCATACTAGTTAGTATGGTTACAAGCCCGTTTTTCTCATGCTTCTCCAGTAAATTTAGTGTCTAGTGCAGTGGTCGGCAGGGACAAAAAGATGGGTATGCGACCCATTTGGAGGCTGGCTAAACCATCGCAGGCAGCCTGAGACACCGGACTCTGTTGGGACGTCGGCGGCAGACACGAGCGCCATCACCAAACAGGGATGCTTGCGCGCCCGACGGATTGATCGTCATGCTCTTGAAATTATTACGGAGTAGGAGTATACTTGAGGGATTTGGCGATCGGCTGGCTGAAAGGAGCAGACCAAACGGAGTGGATGCATCATACCATATTAGCTGCCCCTATTCCCAGGTACGTAAAAGAGGTAGTAGTACTAAATATCTACCAGTTTAGGCCTGCAAACTAAATTAGAGATGCTTGCTTTTTTCTTGAGTATTCTGCACACGTTCTTGATTCATTTTTCAGACTGAAAGAACCAAGTCTCCCTTACAATGCCACAGATGGTACCCTAGCTATATCTATACACCACTAGTTCGTAGTTAAAAACAGCGGGAATTCCACCACTAGGAGGATTATTGACTTCAATTAGTTATGAAAACTAACTAGATAACTAACTACTTAACTTACTTACTGTAACTGTAAGAGTGTTCAGGCCCTTCCCGGCCAGGCCCGCCACGTGCGGGCAAGTGGGCAGCCACGCGGATCCGACGATGGCAGCAGCAGCAGCAGCAGCAACGCATCTTCTTCATCCACCAAGCGGCCCCCATTTCCTTGGTCCTTGAACTCCAGCAAACCTTCTCTACTCCCTCCGCCTACTCCCGGTTCTTCCGTGCCGACTCACTCAATAGTGGTTGGTATACAATAATAACATGTGATGTATTATGAAATTCCTTGTTTCTTGTCTTGTCTTGAGCAGTAAGAAAACTGGCTGGTGAGACTGTAAACGATGTAAGACATGCATGATTGATTGATTGCTCCGTCCCGTCTGAAGGATCTTCAATATGCACGACACCGCTGCCGGTTGTTGAAGGGAAAAGGGCGAATATCATTTCTTGTTTTGCCAGATGTACGGGATTTGCTTGCACACTATCACTCTGGCTGACTTGCATTGGAGCGGGAGTGCTTCTCCGACGGTGAATTCCCATGTAGGGCAGTCCACTCAGCATAACTTAGTGGACTAGACTAGGTGCTGACCGCTCATAGTATCAGTTGATAAGCCCGTTGTTTTATAGTTCTGATAGCTAGATAAAATCTCATCTTATCTATATGAAATTTTTGGCCACTTAATTTATCTTCAATCTGTCAAAAGTACTATATTTATTATTATATGGGGATTACTCCCTACTAGTAATCTCAAAGCGGGCGCTAAGGCGGTATCTCCGTAACGCCGGCATTATGGAGCTACCCCTCGTCTTTCTTATTTTCGAAAAAAACATCGCGGGACGTCATCATATACTTGTTGATTTTGCAGCTTCCCATTTGGTACACATATTTTAGCCTAACATCCACCGTGCTTTACATTTATTGCTCCGAGAAAATTACTCATCGGAAGACTCTGGCCGCATCTAAACGTTGACAATGCCCAAGCCAAAGTCTTTCCTCAAGGACACCAAGCCTAATAAGAAAAAGGCGACACAGCGGGTATGCTCAATTGACCCTTCGACCGCGAGTACTACTTTCCCTCTAACTCTACTGCATAGGCCCCGGAAACTGCAGATGAATACCTAGCCCGTGAGTCACCCAGCATCAGAATTGAATTATATTCATTTGGTCAATCGCCTGTCATATATTGCCGTATAGCTAAGCAAGATGTTCCAGTCGGTGTCGAACAGGAAGAGGCCGGAGAGAAATGGCGCGCCGGAGATGCAGCCAAATCCCTGCGCTTCTTCATGCGCGCCATCAATACCTATGACGAAGGCTTGAGCAAACATCCCACTGCTTTTGACCTGGCTTATAACAAGTACGTCATACGCCAATCAATTTTATTCTTGCTCTATTACTCATTATGGCCTCGTCTATCAGTAATTAACCCTAGTCACTGACGTCTGATAGAGCGAGAGTTCAGTATGAAATCACACAACATCCCAGGCTAGCTGCTCAGCTGTCTGCGCCGCTATTGGATGTACTGCGAGTAGCGCTTGATTCTCACAGAGCAGCGCTTGACCTGGAGCAAGACAATGCAGATGCGCTCTTCAACACAGCCCAAGTACTCACCAGCATTGCCGAGGCTTTGACCGAAGCCAAACGTCCATCGGATGACCGGCTCTCCCAGGCAGTGAAGCTTTTGCAAGAAGCCATAGAACTCTTTCAACGTTGCCTAACTGTACAGGAACTCAAGTACACCGAAATGCAGGAGCAGATCAACCAGATGACGTCCGGCGAAACAGACCCTGCTGAAACGCAGATGCAAGATACACCGCCAGAACTGCCACCTGCGGACGATTCGAAATCTTCAGATCAGCAAGAGCAATGGGCTGCCATTGTTGAGCCCGTGACCAAGGACACACTCGTCGACACTGCTGTGGCACAACTGGATGCCATCACAAGCCTCTGTAACCTACTCACGTTTAATCCTGAAGTAGGAGTCACTTGGGTAGAAGAGTATTCATCCGAGCAGCTGCAGAAACGAATCTCAGCATATGTCGAGGGGTCAAACAGGCACTACGAGGCCACCCTGGCTCGTGCCAAGTTCGCCTGCGCCCTGAATGAAGTTCTATACAGAAGCGGACGGACTGAAGTTGGAACATACTCCGAAGAAGTCTCGCGAGCTTTCGGTCCTGAGCTGGATCTATCAAACGATCCGGATGGCTTGTGCAGCAAAGCCGATGCGCTCACTTCTTTCAACACGGCGCTCACAGATCTCCCTCCGTATGAGCCGGAGGCCTTTGGGAAAGCGCTGTCTCTTCGATGGCAATCACTGTCCGCTGCCTTGGACGCACTGAGCAAAGCGTCCAAACTCCCCACTGCTGAAAACTTGCCAAAGATTCATCTGGCAAGAGGAGACGTGGAGATGGGTAGGTGGAGGCTTGGCTTGGCTCCATGGGACTATAACATGGCCCGAGATAACGCAGCTACACTGTTGCGCAACGCCCAGACTTATTACCGCGGTGCAGCAGCCTTGGCGAAGAGGGACGGTGCTGCGGACGAGGAACGAGACGGAACCTGCAAGGAGGCCATCGCTGCTGCACTGGCAGGCCAAAAGGACAAACTCCAACAGCTTCGCAGAGCTGCGCCCAAGGAGCTGATGCTCGTTGCGGAGGATGTGGTCGAAGAGGGATGGATGGGTCCCGGCGATATGGAGATATTGTTGTCGTAGTTATACTATATCCCGGCCCATTCGAACGTTGAAAGGGAAGCCTGTCCCCGCCATCGTAGAAATCGCAAGCCACCAGATCAGATCTCAGGTCTAGCTTTAACCTCTCCATCCATCTGCGCAGCTTCTTGTCGAAGCTGATGCTCACTCGTAAACTGCGTCGTCGCGGCCGCAGCACCCTCCAAATCAGCAACCACAGCCTCCAACCCGGACAACAAACTTTCAATCTCAGACCTCTGCGCCTGGACCTTCCCAGCCAACTCGGCATTCTGATTCTGCACCGAATTAATCTTGGCGTCCAAATCCGCCTGCGTCTCCATCAAATGCGGCAACAGATGCGCTTTGTACAATTCCTCCGGACTCAACGTATGCGGCCTACCAAGCACAAACCAAACCAGTTAGCCATCCATCATCCACTCCTCCCCCACCCCAATCCAACAATACCAAATCGCAACAAACAAACTGTCAAGGAAGAAAGGGAAAAACATACGCAACACTATCCCCACCAACCCCTCTCTCCTTCCTAACCCTCGCCTCACCAACCAACCGATCCAACTCATTCAACTGCCTAACAGCATCCCTCTCCGCCAAAATATCCTCGAACTCAGCCTTAGCGCTCTCCTCCAACTTCGCATTCAACTGTCTCCATACACTCTCCAAACTAGCCGGGACGTGTTTCGCCGGCGTCGGAAAACACCCGCTGAAATTCGCGTACGAGTTTGCGCGCAGCGTGCGCGCCAGCGCCTTGTCGAAGATCTCTTGCAGTTTGGAGGCACGCGGGCCGGGTGTTAGGGGGACTGGCGCGGGAGGCGGTGGTGAGGGCGAGGCGCCTGGTCTTTGGGTGGTCGGTTCGGTGGACATGGTTTGGTTTATATCGTTCGTTCGTTGGGCGGGGTTGAGGTAGGTAGGTACTTGGGGAGTTTTATCAGGGTGCGGTGTTTCGTGATGTTAAGTCTTGAGGTATGGTTCGTTTCGGGCTCCTTTGGGTCGTCGTCGTTGTTGTTTTGTGGTTGTAGGATTATGGAGATTGGCTTGATTGATTGATGGGGATTGGGGAGACGCGCCGGGAGACGCGCGCGACTACTATGTATCACGTGATTGGTATAGATCTGGGCAGATGGGTCGGGTACCTCTATATATCGTAGGGTTAGGTACCTGTTCAGTACACTTTGTGGGGTTACTTATGTGTATTGTGCTTGAATTGAGTTCAATAAACTTATCGTGGTCTTTTGCTATGTTGCGGTTGCGTTGGATGTATGAAGAGCTGGAATTGGTTACTGTATATGCTCTAGGGCTCTATAAGAAAATAGTTAATAAAAGCTCGCCAAAACAAATCATGTCTGCATCAAATATCATAGATGTTAGCTGCTGCTCCTACAAATATAGATCACTAAGAAAGGCAAGGTAATTGGTGAGCGAATGTCAAGTATAATGATCAAAGTTATCTACGAAATGCTATCGGCCATATGCACCGCAAAGAGAAAACAGAAAGAATCATTTGAATGTCCTCTTAGGAGTCAAACGCCGCGCTCTCCCCATTCTAAAACCGAATCCGTTGCTCGTCAAGCCTTCCACGAAGGGGGCAGATGAACGAAAGCCAAGGTAAACGAAAGGCTGTACATGATGAAAACGAACTAGAAGGAAAACAAAGACGGATCAAAGGAAGAATCTCAGTATGCTTGCTGTTGGGGAACCATGCCGCCATACGCTCCAGCCATTTGTTGCTGCTGCTGCTGTTGCTGCAACTGTGCCTGCAATTGTGGAAGATCGCGGAACCAGGGGTGTACCAGTGCGTCTTGGGCACTGATCCGCATCTCTGGTCGTAGTTGCAGCATCCGGCTCAAAAGATCCAGACCTAGGGGGTCGATTTGGGGGAGAATGAGACTGAGGTCCTGCGTGGCATAGACGTGGAAGTTTGGCTTGTACTCCGGGAGCTGGGAGATGCCGGGCCATGAGCGTTCCGAAGGGGTACCCATGAGACGGAAGATCTTGATAAGCTGGTCTTCGTTGGTGGTGCCGGGGAACAGAGGACGGCCGGTGTAGAGTTCCGCCATGATACATCCAGCAGACCAGATGTCGATGCTCGTGTTATATGTGCGGCTGCCCAGAAGTACATCCGGGGCACGGTACCACAGGGTCACGACTTCGTTGGAGAAAGTGTTGACGGGGATGCCAAAGGCACGGGCGAGACCGAAGTCTCCAAGTTTGAGTTGTCCCTTTTTATTGATCAGGAGATTTTGAGGCTTCAGATCGCGGTGGAGGACGCGGTTCTCGTGGCAAAACGCAATGCCCTTGAGAAGCTGGTGCATAAATGATTTGATTGTGGCTTGGTCCAACTGACCGCGGTCGGCGCGGGTATCCATATACTTCTTCAGATCCTTGTCCATGTACTCAAAGACGAGCATGAGTTTGTTCTCCGTGTGGATCACATCATAGAGCGAGACGATGCTTTCGTGCTTCAGCTCCTTCATCAACGAGATTTCTCGGATGGCGGTGGATGGTGTTCCCTCTTCGGAGTCGAGGTGGATCTCTTTCAGGGCAACCAGCTCACCTGTTTGGCGGTTGCGTCCTTTGAAGACCTGTGTGAGTGTCAGTACATCGTGCGATTCAGAGGATCGGCCGTGCGGAGGGAGGGGTTCGTACGGTGGCATAGGTGCCTTCTCCGAGCTAGAATCAGCAGTTAGCATCACGACTTTCTGTCTGACTGGGTAATCTCTCAGTCTATGGTAGGGAAGCTATCAAAACACACCTTTTCCAGCTGCTGGAAGGAGCTGGGCTGCTGCTTGTCCATGGTGGTTGATGGCGCGACGGTGGTACTCTGCGCAGCAGGAGTTGGATGCGAACGAGAGGTGGAGCGCGGAGGATGGAAGAGAAAAGTTTTGGGAGAGGCCAAGTTAGAGATGAGATCCAGATATTCGGAGGTTGGAGGTTGCAATGTCTTGCTTTTTGAGCGGTCGCGACCGTCCATGTCCATGCTGATCTGAACCGGCGAATGCAGAGCCCCGCGCTGGCATCGAACAGCGGACGGGCGGCTGACTGGCCCGCCATCACTTTCTCTTCTCCTCAATCTTGCCTGGCCGGTCTCCACTAGTATCCCGGCGTCTATTCATGCCTGTCCACAACTCCTCGTTGCCAATCAATTTGGCGTGTCTAAAATTATCTTTTCTGGACTATTCCGTCCGATGAATACTGCTATCTTGAAATAATAACGTCTCTAATGACGCAAGCTTGAATTATGACTTTTATCGTTTGTATATACTATACTATGCTGCTTATCTGAACGGGTCACACAGCTCACCGTCATCTATACATCACATCCTCTTCAATCTATACAAGGACACTAATGACGAGTAAGTGAAGGCAGTTGTGCTGCCACAGGGCCTAGAATGTCCTGGGATGGGAGACTGCAACGGACATGCCGGCATACAGCCTCCGTTTCTTGCTCCGCCTTGCTAAAGAGGATCGACTCATTCCGGACACCTCCTATATTGATGATGCCAATCGGCATCCCTCGCTTATAGGCCCTTTCCACTAGGCGCCACGCTGAGTATGTGGCAAGACTACTGCCCAGGACGAGGAGTCTGCCCGCATCGTCGATAGCCTCTTCTGCACCCTCCTTGACGGCTGGGTCGATATTCTCTCCAAACATAATGACCGCCGGCTTCAAAATCCCCGCTGTAGAATTTGGAAGCCAAGCCCCATCGCGCTCTACCTCCACACGGGATTGGGACCCGTCCTGCAGCCGGGGTGGCTTTTCTAAACAGGTTGGACATGCTGGATACCGAAAGGTCGAGTAAGGGGCTTCTGGTAAATCTACATCACCATCCGGGTTGATTTTCAAGCCCCTCCGTCTCTGCTCCTCAGGGTTGTCCGCGTTCAGCGCACCAATATCGACCATTTTCTTGAGAAACTCTGCCCAGGCGGGGTTCAGCCTCTCGAGCGATTGCTGAAATTCGTCCCGTGGAACTTCAGTTCGACAATTGATGCAGACCGCAGAACGTAAGTAGCCGTGGAGTTCGAGAGTGGGTAGCTCGGGGTGCGCGACAGAATGGAAGGAGTCGACGTTTTGCGTCACCACTGAACTAATATATCCTTTCGTACCAATGTCTTTTATAGCCCAGTGCGTCGAATTTGGCTTCGCCTTGAGAAGTCCCGGCCACCCAATGAAGCTTCGCGCCCAGTATCGCTTGCGAAACTCATGGCGAGCGACGAACTCGTGGTAGTAGATCGGTCGATACGTCTTGTTTGTGATGTACGTGCCATTCTCACCCCGATAATCGGATAAGCCTGAAGCTACCGAGATGCCAGCGCCTGTCAAGAGCACCGTCTGGGAATGCCTGCCTACATCAACGCCGCGCAGATGCGGCGACGGAGGGGCCGTCAAAAAGGTCAAGAGCGCATCAATGGCACCTGCGACCGTGAGTGCGGACGGAGGGACAATAATCGGCGGAGGTAGAGGGCCCGTAAAGGGAATCCGAATTGCTGGAGCAGTCATTGAAGCCACATGATTAAGAGATGTTGAAGCTGCAAGAGAATTGGTTCAGATGGGCGATGGTTGATGACCGACGTCAGGCTTGACTAATCAATCACATGACGTACGCAGTCCCATGAAGGATGAAGTGAATGGTAGGTCTACACGGGGGGGGGGACATTTACTAAATCAGATGGCACTGAATGGTCAGAAGACCAGAATAGATGATGCAGGATATTGTCGTCGAGACAAGGAACAAAGCGTCACCAGGAAGAAGAAAAGTGGAAGCAGTCGATCTGAGTGTCCATTCTTGGTCTAGACTGAGAGGAGCTACCCCGGATCGCCCCACGTGATCTGCACCCTTCGCAGACTCTGCGAACGTCATCGCCGGCCATCTGCTTCATTCCATCAACGCGTCTTTGTTTGCTGTTGACCGATTTTGCTTGCCTCTTTCTGTTTAGACTATAGAGCAGAGCATTGATTGGGGAAACTCCCAATCGCTCTCTCGTTCGCACAGCCCGGACATGTTTCCCGCAGTCACCGGCAATATAGATCTAGAGGCACTGAGTGGCATATGTGGGTATGTTTATGCCAGACTAGAGAGAATTGATGATTTTATACTGATCACCGACATAGATCCATCTCGATTGCGTGCTGGGTTGTTGTCTTCTCTCCACAGATCATCGAAAATTTCCGTCGCGGCTCAGCTGATGGCCTGTCCCTTCTTTTCCTCATCGTCTGGCTAGCCGGCGATGTGTTCAACATCCTGGGCGCCGTCCTGCAGGGCGTGCTGCCAACCATGATCATTCTCGCGGTGTACTATACTCTAGCAGATGTGGTGCTCCTAGCTCAATGCTTCTACTACCGGGGATTCACCCTGCGCGACGAGCCATCCACGCCACCGCGACCTGCGTCTCCCATCACGACAGATGCCTACGACGAAGACACGGAGATTCCCTCTCCTGTCGTGCCTCGGAAACCCACAGAGCACACCGCGTTGCTTTCCTCCAAACGACGCAGTGCCTCTTACCAGGCTCCTCTGGACACCCGCAGCCCAGCATCATCGGCAACAATCACCCCTCACCATCAACCCTTGCTCGCCCATCGCCGTCACTCCGCCTCTTCATTCCTTCACACAACCGTCGACGGAACTCACCTATCCCCAGCGACCCCACTCGTCGAACCAGCCAAGCAACCCCGACCCCCTCGAACTCTGACCATGCTCCAAGCCACCTTCTTCAACGGCTCGGCCATCATCCTCGTCTGTGCCGCCGGCATTCTAGGCTGGTACATCAGCCAGCGGTCATCACTTTCGTCAGACAACAACAACAATAACAACAACAAGCACAAAGACAGCACCGACGACCTGAAAATGGACACCCTAGGCCAAGTCTTCGGCTACCTCTGCGCAGTGCTATACCTCGGTTCCCGTCTGCCCCAGATCCTCCTCAACTACCGCCGCAAGTCAACAGACGGGGTATCCTTACTCTTCTTCCTCTTCGCCTGTATCGGCAATCTGACCTACGTACTTTCCATCCTGGCGTATTCACCTGTGTGTCAACGCCGACACCATGGTCGGTGTCGATCTGATGAACTAGCCTCGCTGTATGGTCGGTATATTCTGGTGAATTTGTCTTGGCTGATTGGAAGCTTTGGTACATTATTGTTGGATATGTGTATCTTTATTCAGTTCTTCTTGTATCAGGATGGAAATGGGGGTCAGGTGGATGCAGAGGCGAGGTGAAACATATTTGCGTTTGCTTATAAAATTCTCTTCTTCTTCTTCTTCTTCTTCTTCTTCTTCTTCTTCTTCTTCTTCTTCTTCTTCTTCTTCTTCTTCTTCTTCTTCTTCTTCTTCTTCTTCTTCTT